TGGGCACGTCCCCGAGGGAACGCAAAGATGGGTCAGGCAGACATCTTTCCCTCAAAGAGCTTACGCTCTGGTCGGGGACATAAACAAACAGAAGGGGGCATCCTGGATTGAGTGGAGGCAACATGAGTAAAGCCGCAGGAAGGCACCTGTGGTGACCTGACTCGGAGGTGACCGCTCAGGCTGGACTGGCCACTTCCTGTGGGAAGAGGAGGGAGGCGAGGCTGGAGCCCAGGTTGGGTGTGGGCTGCAGAGGCCCTGAACGCTGGCCCGGGGGAGTTTGGTCTTTTCACTTCAAGGGAGCAGGAGCCAGGGAAGATGCTGTGAGCAGAGTGCCGGGCGAAGGCAGGGAATGTCCCACAATGCCTGAGGGTTTCGGGGTGACTGGAGGTGTTGCGGAGTGGTAGGAAGCCTGCAAGCAGGGGTTAACAAACAGTTGGGGAGCGTGTAGGTGCTGGGGTGAGGTAGAAGGTACACCCGCCCCTGAAATGTTCTCCACTCTGGGGTGAGACTTTACCTGAGGGTAAGAGGGGACTGAAATATAGCAGTTTTGCACATTCCCTTTTTGCTTTTGGAAGGGAAGGGTGGGTCGAGGGGGCCTGAATCCTGGACCCTGAACTTTGACCCTGATTCCTAGATTCGATCGGTCTGTTGGTGGAGGCTGTCCAGTCCTGGGCAGCTCATAAATCCAGTGCTTTTCTTCCTCAGGGGCTTGGTCAGTGGCCACCAAACCATGCATAGGGAGGGGGAGGACAGGCAGAGGCAGATTTTATGACCACGGTGGAGGGCTCCGCATCAGGTGGCATTCCAGCAGGCTCTGCTCCAGGCCACTTCCGGGTACATTTCCAAAGGGATCATCCATGGGCAGCCAGTTGCAGTGGTTGAGTGTTTAACTAGCCTGTGCCCCGCTGCCGGCTTCCTGCTTCTTAAGGGGCCATGTTGGTGCCTGGCTCCTCTCAGAAAACCAGGTGGCACCTGCCGCTTCAAGCAGGCAATTGTATGAGCCCAAGAGAAAGGACGCAGAGCCAGACACAGCAGCCCGGCAGTAACCAGTTAACACAGAGGCCGGGGGCAAGCAGAGGGCAAATGCAAAATCTGTTTACCAGCGGATGGTGGGGCACCCGGGCAGCCAGTCCAAGATTCCAGGTACCTCCCTATCAGGGAGCCAAGAGCCCCACCCTCAGCTCAGCAAGGAACTATTCTCGCTCCACTGGGGCCAGACCTCAAAACCAGGGGCTCTCCACCCCCTGGGAAAGGGGTAGTCAGCCTCCCCCTCCCCGGAGGAGGAAATGGCTCTTGAAAGAGATTCTTCAAGCTGAAACTCTGGCACTCCGGAGCCCCAAGCATAGGCCCCACCTGGGCTCCGAACGCAGGGCTCTGCTGGCCCAGGGCGGGGAGCTTCTCCAGCAGACACTGGGCCTTGCCTGCTCCCATGGAAGGCCTGGCACCCACAGGCAGGGTTTACAAGGCCCCTGGTGCAGGAGGGAGGTCGGCCGTGGGCCATCCTCCAGGGGCTGAATCTCAATTCTCGCTGCCACTGTTCAGACCATAGAATAATGGATTTGCCACGTGTCGAGCTCTGGGCCAGATGCCAGGGAGTCCAAATTGTGAGGCACGGCCCTGCTCTTGAGAAGGACACAGTCTGATTGGGGAGGCAACAATTTAGAAAGCTGATTGAGGTACACCAGGATTGATGATAAACAAACAAATGCGTAACAGGCCATGGGCAAACAGGACAGGTCACATGGTTCTTCCTGGGGGAGGCAGGAAAACTCTGCAGAGGAGATACGCTGGAGCTGAGCTGTGAAGCAGGGCAGAGTTTAAGTTTTGGTCTGAAAAAGGGAGATGGGACAGAAAGGATGTTGGAAGTAGAAGAAACGGCCCAGAAGATGATGTGCCAAGGCCATTCTGATAAATAGTAAGACAGAATCCAAAGAATGTTGGAGAAGCAGCTTCTACGAGTTTGGGTTAAAAACTGTCAGGTGTTTTTTTAAATGACAGGACTGAGGCTCAGAGAGGAAGGTCTAGGAAGGGAGAGGCTCGCCACTGAGCATCTGGGAGTGCCAGGCTCGCTCGAGGAACGTTCTAGACGCGGCTTCATCTGGATGTGGAACTGGAGTTCTACCGGCTTTACAGCAGAGAAAAGCGGGGCTCAGAGAGATGGAGTCACTTGCCTTAGGTCACACAGCTGGCAGGTGGCAGAGCTGCTCTTGACACCAAGGTCTTGGCAGTACCCTTAGACTCTTGCAGCTCAAAGAAGGAAGAATTCCGGTGAATGAAGGTAGTTTCAGTGGCGGGCAGAAGCTCAAGCACCACGTTTTGGGAGGGAGCGGGGAGGGAGGGGGAGGAAGGGAGGAGGGAGAGAGCCAGCCTCTCCTCTACAATTTATTAACCGGAAATCTCTCCGAACAGTGGGTGGGCAGTACCCATATGGGACCACTTCTCCAAGAGTTGTTAGTTGAAAGTGACCGTTCATAAAGGCTTATATGCCTATGGGTTGATAAACAGGGTGAAGGGCATTTGGAGGTGAAGATGCCACTGTCGTTGAAGGCTTAGAAAGCCACAGCACCTCTCACAGAACTTCCTTGCTGGCCAAGCTAGGCCCGCTGTGACCGGCAGCCCCCGTGGCCACCTGGCTCACGGGGTGAGGCTCACCATCTCCACCTCTAATCTCCTCACCTCTCCCTGCGCACAGGCCCCAGGGGAATAAAGCAGAGGGCACCAGGCATCCTGCAGACCTGGAGGCCCATTGCCCCGAGGGCCTGGCTTGGTTTCGAAGGCAGATCCTGTTCCAGAGTGAGATGGGGAGGAAAAGGAACCAGCAAACAGCTCTCAGAAAAACGCCCTCCATTTCTACTGCTACCTGCCGCACAGGGGTGGCTGCAGGGTCCGTGCAAATGACTCCCAGTGGGTGGCCAGACACTGGATACCCCAACCTTCCCGCTTCCTGGCCCAGGGCAAGACTTGCCTCCTGCGAGAGGTGATGGGGCTCCCAAACTTGAAAGCAAATTGAGACAGACCCACAATGCAACTGTCTCCACAGCCCTCAGACCATTCCCTCCCCTCCCGCTGCCCCTCGGAACTGGCTGTCACCTACGTCCCTGAGCGACTCCTCCCAGCAAACTGATTTCAGCGTTAGTATTGGCCTCGTGTTCACGAGGCCAGAGGACTTATCCATCTCATTTAGGTCCAGCCGATCGCTCACCCTTTCATGGTGAGCACCCAGCTGCCGGGACCTTACTAGGGTGTCGGGTGTCTGCACACCCTCGCACGAGGGGGCCCTGAGTCGTGGGGTGGGGGCTGCTGTTAGGGGAGGGAGGCCGACGGCACAACTCTGCAGAAGAAACGCGCTCTTCCTCCTCACGTTTGAAAGAACTGAAACAACCCAGTCCTCGCCACATTTCCCAGACCAGCCAGCAAGGGCAAGGCACAGAAAGGGCGACAGGGTTCTAGAAAACGCGGGCCCCACCGCCAGCTCCAGCCGCTAAGCGAACACTCCCTCCAGGAGTCCGAGAAGCCGGTGTGCCGGGGGAGGAGACGCCCGAGGTGTATCGTTCCAGCAGCTCGGGGTGATTCATGGGGTTACACTCCTGGTGGTCAGAGATTGAGGCTTGCAAACAAACCGCCAGGGAGGTACCCCTCCCCCCACCCTGCCACCCCCTAGCCCGAGACCAGCTGCCTCCCCTCCTCCCTCCGCTGCCCCCGCCCCCCGGCGCTCCAGGCAGAGCAAACACGCCCCGCCACCGGCTGGCTCCGACCGCGCGCCGCTGGCGATCCCCCAGGCAACTCGGCGTCACGAGAACCAGCACCCCGGAGACCCGGCGCCTTGCCCCTCCCTCCGCTTCCCCTGGGCCGCGGCCAGGCTCAACAACTTCTCCCCGGCCGCTGCGCCGCGGTCCCGCCGGGCCTCCTGCGCGCGCTAACTAGGCCCCGCTGGGCTCCCGGGACAGCGCACCCCGCCTCGCGCGGAGCCCGCAGCCCCGGGGGAAGGCGGCCGGAGTATCTCTTGTTTACTGGGCGGGGGAAAGTCCCAGCCAGATCCGCTTCCCCATTTCTGCGGTTCCCTTTCTGCCGATTCCTGGGGCCGGACGGGAAAGGGTGGCGGCCACCCGCTGATCCACTCCCGGGGCAGGGAGGGGTGGGGCGTGGAGAGGTCCTGGGTCCCCGAACTCGTGGAAAAGTCCCCGGGCGGTGAGACGGGCAGGACTCGGAGTCAGAGACCGCGGGGGCCGGGTTCAACACTGTGCCTCGGGGAACAGAAGCGTGAAGGCTAATTAGGACAAGTCGGAGCAAGGAACGGGAGCGCGCGCTGAGTCGGGCCAACTCTGGGGCGGTCACAGGAAACCCAGGCGCGGGGTAGTCGGCCCGGGGCGACGTGTGCCCACGGTTCCGAGTGGTTCTAGGCTCGGCCCACCGCATTAGGGGCACGCACAGTGGTATTCCCACGCACACTTGGTGGTCTGGGTGCTGGGGAAGGACCGTGCGTGCAAGAGGCGGGCACGCGGTGTGTGGTGTGTCCACGTGTGCACGCTCGGGGAGGAGAGGGGGCGCCGCAGGAGTGACAAAGGCGGACTTTGTGTCTGAGGAGTGTGCCTCGCTCCAGCACAGAGTAGCGAACTGTGTGTGTCCGGCGTGTGTCTCACGGGAGAGCCAGGACGAAGGTGACAAAGGCTAGGTGTCCTCCACGCACCAAGAGACGCACCAAGGCGGCCCCCGCGCGCACGCGCTGGGACGTGCGGGGAGGAAGAGCCGGCCTGCGGGGTGCGCTGTGCTGAACCCCAAAGCGCTTTCCGGAGAGAAAGCCGAGTCCAGAAAGTGAGCGCGCGTGAGTGTGCGCGCGCCCGCGTGCGGGGGCGTGGCAGTGAACGGCAACAACCCACCCGCCGGCTCCACCAGAAACTCCGATCTTCCTCCCCGGCCGGAAAGTGCGACTCGCCGGAGCCTGGAGGTGAGGTGGAGGGGGAGGAGGGCGGGGCGGGCTTTGTTACAGTGTAAACCGATTGCACATACCTGGAGCTGCGGTCGCCCGATAAGCGCCTGAATGGAGGTGATGTCACGGTGATGCAGGCACCGGCCCACCCTGGCCGAGAGGGGAGTCGAGCGTGGGGAGAGGCGGGTGCGAGAGCGAGCAGCGAGCGAGCTCGGCCCGCTCAGCCCCGGCCCGGGAGAGGCAGAGCCCGCTCCCCTGGCCCCCGCCGCAGCGCCGCCATCCTACCCCAGGCCAGGGCTGGGCCTGGCCCCGGCCCCGCGCCCGGCTCCGAGTCCCTCCCACCTCCGCCCGCGCCTCGCCTGGGGCTGGAGTTGGCCCCAAACGCGGCGCCGGAGCCCGGCCGGCGGCGCGTCCCAGGTAAAGGCTGCTGCCTTCCGTCTCCGTCCTCCCCTCCGCCTCTTCTGAGTCGGGTCGGGCTGGCGGGGAGTGGACGAGGGTGGCGAACCGGGGAGGTGGACAGCGCGCCAACTCCGCTCGGTCGCAGAAACTTTCCAAACCAGACTCTGCTGGGGATTGGGGCGGGAGGGGGGGGGTCCGGCGCGGCGCGGGGTGGGAACTCCACCAGCAGGGTCTCCAAGGGGTGCCGCCTTCAACCCCGTTACCTCTCTTTGAAGGTGCCAGTCCGCCGTCAGTAGTGACTTTTGGGCCGTCGTCCTCTCCGCTGCCGGCCACCGTGGCTGGGGAGGGCAGGTTTCTGTGGCCAGAGGGAGTGGAGAGAGGCTGGCCGCCCTGCACCTTCTGTTCGCAGTCCGGGGGAGCGTCGGCGTAGACCCGGGTGGGGGCGGGTGGAGAGAGGAGCGCTCGGAATCTTTGCGCGGAGTTTGGGATTTCGGACAACCAAAGAGCCTCTACTTCTGGCAGCGTGGTTTCTAGATCCCTACCCCCACCCCCAAATGTCTTCCTGAGCCTTTTAGAAAACCAGCCTCAGAGGTTGAGTAGCGCCCCTCCACCCCCAGGCGCTCCGGATTACACCCGGGAAAACGCAGCCTCTTAAGAACGCCACAATCTCGATCCTAAAGCACAGGGACCAGAATATGTGGAAATAAGGTTTTATGCTCCTGGAGCGCCTCCTCCCGCCCCCCATACACACACATCCATGAGCTTTAATGTGTGGATGGCGGGAGGGAGTGCTTTTGGGGGTAGGGGGTAGGGGTGCATTCCAGAGTGGCATTCCAGGGCAGACCCTTGGATTGAGGGGGCTGCTCCAAGTTTCAGAACGCTCAGAGCGTTCTGGCCCAAACGCCCACCCTCGGTGTGGAGGTCCAGGCCCGGGTTCCAGGATGCCTCCCTGCCCTGCAACCTGAGCAGTGAGGTAGCTCCTTGCAGGCACAGGCATCTCAGGTCTGAGAGGGAGGAGGTGGTTGGGACAAGGGGAGGAGGTGGGAAGGTCGGCAGTGGGTCCATTGCCTCTCCTGACAGGGTGCTGAGTGGTGGCAGACCCGTAGGAAGGAGGATGCTCTGGCAATCCTGGGCTAGCATAGGTGCCTTAAGAGTCATGGTACCCTGGGAGGTAACCTCTGGCTGTGGTCTGTGTCTTACTTGCCCCAGAGCCCGGGAGACTGGCCCCGGGCGGCAGTGTGAAGCCCAGGGTGCTCTTCGGTGGGTGGTGCTGGTAGTTGGCTGCTCTGGAAAAGAAAGAGGGGGCCTGGCTGTCCTCATCCTTGCCGGGTGAAGCCAGTCGGGGCTGGCTGGGCGTTGAATCCACGGGCACTCCTGAGGCTTCTCTGCTCCCCCAGAGAGGAAGAGGGCGGAAGGGGATTCTGGAACTGGATTGGGCTGAGTGGCTGAGCTTGGGGAAAGGCGGGTTTCAAAAGTGATTAAAATCGGTTGTATCGCTAATTCTAGGGAGGTGAGGCAAAAGGGCCCTTTTGTCCAGAAAATAATCTAAAGCTGGGGCTGGATCGCAGCCATGGTGTCGGGGACACTGGCGGGGCAGAAGGAGGGCCTTCTCCCACTCCCCTCCTCGGTCCCACTGAGGACCTTGAAGCAGATGTGACTCCCAGCACTGGGCTGGGGAGAAGTGGGCATCGAGTCCGTTCGGTCCATGATTTTCAGACGCCCGCTGTGTTCAAGGCAAGGCGCTGGGCGCTGAGCGCTGCAGAGCATGCGTTTCGTTGGCTGCCCTCAGACCTTAGGGTTGCGTAGGGGAGACAAGTCTACACACGATTCTAGAGTTCAAGCCTCAGGAGATTCAGCCTGGAAATGCAGGGTCTAAGGATGCACGGGACGGAGAGTCTCCAGGCAGAGCTGGGTCTATTTTGTTGAAGTCCTTTCCCCCTTTACCATCTTTAAAAAGTGGCGTCAACTAACTGGCTGAATCTGGACTCCTGGAGGTTAAACTCCCCTGAGTTTCCTTCACTAAGTCTGCTGACTCCGAGGAGTCGTTGTCCTGGGAAGTGAACAAGAGCCAAGTTCAACCGGCCCAATTTCCTCACCCGAGTCTGTGTGTCCTCGTTTCCCCACTGGCCCTTCCATTTACTGGGGAATCAGAGAAGTGAGACCTAGGATGGGAATGGTGTTTCATCGGGCTGGCACGTTTCAGGACAGCTGGGCAAGCATGGTGCCTGGATGGGGGAGGAGGGGCAGGCTCCTCTTTCCTTCCTTGGAAGTTCCCGTGTCAGTGGCCAGCAGAGGTGAGACTTGAAGGGTACGGTCCAGGACTAACAGCAAAGGGAGGAGGAGACCGGGGTGAGAGCCGTGAAGCTTCTCTGGCCCTGGCCCAAGTGCCTGTTCTGGGGGGCACAGATGGGTGTGGGTCTAAGAGCAAGGCGGATCAAGGGGAAGTGACATATAGTTGCAGGGCTAAATGGGACCTGGTATAGGGATCCAGAACAAGTCACCCCCAGGTGTGCCTCTGTGGTATGCAGATTGTTTTGGGCTAAAGGTAACTTTAGCAGCGGGCTTAGGAGACACCTCCCCCACCCCAACTACCTAGAAGAATTTGAATTAGCGTCCTTGCCCATAAGAGATTATCAGAAATAAAACTTTTGACCTATCTATAAGGCAGGGCAAACTTCTGCTAACTAAAGGTCTGCTTTTTTTTTTTAATCACCATCCTGCAATGACCTTTTGAAGCCCCCAAAGCACCTTACCTCATCCTTAGCTCAGAGTTTCTATCTCTGAAACTCATATGCGAGTGGGGTCTGATTCTCTCATGTATGCAAGGTTCCCATACATGTGTATGTGTGAAATTTGGTTATTTTCTCTTGCTAATCTGATCATGTCTATTTGATTATTGGACCGACTGGAAGAACCTTGAGGGGAGAGGAAAGTTCGTTCCTTCCCCACTCTGGCCTGGTGTTTTGTAAAGACAGGGCCGTTATCAAGATTTGAACCGATATCATGGGTTTACCCCTCCTTAGATCTTATTTTGGAAAGGATCGCTCGCATCTGCCCCTTATGGCTGGCTTACCTTTTGTCTCTATCTTTAAACCGATGAATGTGTCCTCAACAAATCCATTGCCTGTGCTTTGTGCCAGACTCAGATCTTACTTGAAGCACAACCCTGCTTATGCCCCCATCATGTGAAAAACAGCCCTC